TATTTCACTCCAATAGTTTTTGGTTTCTATATAAAAACACTATTTTTCTTATTTTTGCTCAACCATTAAAATTATTTTTAAAAGGTTATGGGCTCTCACGCCGTTTTTCATGTTATTTTTTTTGTGAATTTTTTTTTGTGATTTTCTTAGTTTTTCAACGTGTTGTTGGTTTTTTCTTTTTGTAATTTTGTGGATATTTTTTTTGTGTGTTGTTTTTGATTAAAACCCGTTTTGTTGTATTTTTTTGTTTGTTTTTCTTGTTAATCGTTTATTTTTTTTTTTTGAAAAATCATCAATATGAGTGAAGGTAATAACAACTCGATTATTCGCGTTTTGAAATTGGGTGATGCTACGTATAGACAGTGGCACAATACGTTAATTGACGTTCTTGAAGCATTGGAACTTGATGAATTTATTTCAACGTTTAAATATGAAAGAGGAGAACAAGATCCTCCATTCACTCGCAAAGAAAAAAATAAGATTGCTAAAGTACGTAATATCATCAAGCAATCCATTTCCAAGGACGATTTAGAGGGTCTTTTAGACTATAGAAATCCGAAGGAAATGCTTGAAGAGCTGGAACGCAAGTACCGTGGTCCAGGAGCGAAATCAGCATGGGAATTGATGAAAGATCTTGAAACGATCAAATTCGAAGGATCAATTCCAGCATTGTTTTCCCGAATGCGACAATTGTATGCTGCTTTCGCAGATAAAGATATTAAATTGCCATATCATATCATAAATTCAAAAGTTAGATCGGTACTTCCACCTGAATATACAGATATGTGCAAAATGCTGGATATTTATAATGGTGGTCGAAAAGAATCCGATTATATGTCAGACAAGCAATTTGAATCGGAATTACTAAGATTTGACCGTGAGAAAAATCTGTCAAAATCGAGTATTCAAACAACATCGCTGGCAGCTACGTCGACACCTAAATCATCAAATGCAAATGCTGCAACTGCTACTAATAATATTGCTGTTCCATCTACGTCGACGTCATTGGTTTCTACCACTCCATCGAATGGTCAAAAGTTTAGTGTTAAATGTCATTTTTGCGGAGTTCAAGGTCATATAGAGCGATTTTGTCAACAAAAGAAGCATGCCGAAATGAATCGAAATAATTATCGTAATAGTTACAACAATAATCGTAATAGTTACAACAATAATCGCAATGGATACAGCAACAATCGTAATGGATACAACAACAATCGTAATGGGTACAACAATGATCGTAATCGAAATAATAATGATCGTAATCGTAACAACTATAACCGGCAAAATAATGATTTAACAAGTTTAAGCGCAATTGTTCGTTCTTCTAACCAGCGTGTTTCAACCGTATCGCAACCTGCATCATTGTCTTTGTTTTCTGCGTCATCTGTTAAATTTTTAGCTGATTGTGGTGCTTCGTATCACATTGTAAATGATCGATCTCTTTTATCAAATATTCGACGCACAAATGGTTCAATTAGTACATTAAAAGGTGATATCCGGAATCCCGAACAAGGCGATATGGCATGTCAATTATTTAATGGTGATAAATGGATTCCGATGAATATAAAAGATGTTTTCTTTGTTGATGATCAGCCTTTCAATTTAATCGCGATTGGAAAGATTTGTAGTAATGATGGTATTTATGAAATAACGAACAAGGACGGTATGATCATCTACCATAATCGTAAACCCATTTTGGTTGGAAAATGGAGTGCTGAATATATCAACATAATTGAATTAAAAATTCGTGTAAATGATAATCCAACCCGTAATGTTGCAAATGTTGCTGTTGATTCATTGTCATGCTGGCACGAGAGGTTTGGTCATTTTGCTACCAAAACGATTGCTAAAATGGTTCGACATCAACGTGTTAATGGTTTACCGGTTCGTTTGAAAAATGATATGGAGTTTTGCGATTCATGTCATTATGGGAAATCAACTGATAGTTCTCATCCGCTTGAAAATGATTCTGGTCATATCCAACCAGGTATGAAATTGCATTTGGACATTGGTGGTTATCTAGATCCATCAATTCACGGTAACAGATATTTCTTGTTAGCTATCGATCATCGATCTCGTTTTGTGAAAGTAGCATTTATGAAAAGTCGTGATCAAACTCTGGACAAATTCAAGCGTATCGTAAACGAAGTGAAATTGGATATCGGTGTCAATGTAATGAGTATACGTTCTGATATGGGTACCGAATTTTGTTCATCATCATTTCAACAGTTTTTGGATGAACGTGGTATTATCCATGAAAAAGCAACAGTATCCACGCCACAACAAAATGGCCGGTGTGAACGAGCCATGCGAACTCTTATTGATCACGCTATATCTTTGTTAAAATCTTCGAATTTACCTCGGTATCTTTGGGATGAAGCAATCAATTGTTCTGCTTATTTGATGAATCGCATATTAAATTTTCATGATGAAATTCCTTTCGAAATTTATTTTGGACGAAAACCGAATGTTTCAAATCTACGTATTTTTGGTTCACATGGTCAAGCTCTAATTAAGAATCGTGAAAGTAAGTTTGATTCAAAAACGAAACCCGTGATCATGGTTGGTTATCAGGGTGATTCTATTTATCGTGTTTATGTACCGTCAACAAGGAGAATTGAATTTTGTTCATCCGTTGCTTTTAATGAAAAACCAAAGTGTTCGACTGCAACAACCAACAATGTTCCTGAATCAACAACAAGTGATGATACCAACAACGATAGTGACAATTTTATTAATCTAGGTAATTTATTTGAATCTGATTCTGAAGGTGAAAATAGTAATCAATTGCAACGAGGACGAGGACGACCAATTGGATCAACCAATCGCCAGTATCATCGCGATCAAGAACGAATTGAATCATTACGTCCATTAGCAGGTCGAAACATGGTTGGTATCTGTGTTATGAATAGTGAACCATCAACCTATGAAGAAGCGGTGCATAGTGAAGATTCAGAAAAATGGAAAGCTGCCATGGATAAAGAATATAATCAATTGTTGAAACATCGAACATGGAGAATGGTTGAAAGACCAAATGATGAACCAATCATATCCGTGAAATGGATTTATACAATTAAAGATGATGGTCGATATAAAGCGAGATTAGTCGCTCGAGGATTTCAACAAAAATCGAATTTTCTGGATATCTATGCGCCTGTGGTACATATGGATACAATCCGATTATTTTTCTCAATTATCGCTACTTGGAATATGGATCTAATTCAATTTGATTGTTCAAATGCTTTCTTAAACGGTGATATAAATGAAACGGTATACATCGATCAGCCAACCGGATATGATGATGGGACCAATAAAGTTTGTTTATTGCAGCGGGGTCTGTACGGCTTAAGACAAAGTCCGAGAAGTTGGAATCGGAAATTCGATGAAACGATTCGATCTTTAAATTTCAAATCAACGATTTTAGATTCATGTCTTTACTTTATCAAAAATGATTTTGAATTTTCATTATTGTGCGTGTATGTGGATGATGCACTTTTGGCTTCAAATGTACCTGGAAGAGCTAAATTTATTTTCGATGAAATTGGAAAAAGTTTTGAAATACGAAAAGTTGAAAAATGTAAATTTCTTGGCATAGAATATTTTCGAAATCGATCATCGCGAACTGTTTTTCTGCATCAACGTGATTATTTGGACGGTAAGTTGAAGATGTTCAACATGAATGAAAGTAGAATTGTGAAAACACCATTGGCTGCTGGAGTTAATCCATATGAATCATCATCACCAAATACCGATTATCCGTATAGACAGGCTGTTGGTGCCTTGCTCTATTTATCATGCAAAACTAGACCTGACATAGCATATTCCGTGTCGTTGTTATCGAGATTTGCCGATTGTACCACTGAAATTCATATTAAAATGGTAAAACATTTATGGCGTTATTTGAATGGTACAACCAATTTTGGAATATTACTAGGGGGATTTGATCCAAAGATTATGGCATTTTCAGATGCAGATTTAGCTGGTGACAGATCAAATGGGAAAACAACAACCGGACATATAATCATCTATGGTGGCCCGATTTTATGGCGAACCAAATTGCAAAAATGTATCATCGATAACACATCGGAAGCAGAATTTATTGCAGCATCTATATCATCTAAAGATATTTTATTTTTACTAAACATGCTAAACAATCTTGGTATCATTTATGAAATTCCTGTGCTTTATTGTGATAACCAAGCGACTGTCAAACAATTACTATCGGAAACTATATCATCTAGATTACGACATGTTAAATTGAAATTGTTTTTAGTTCGTGATTTAGTTGTTCGAAAAATTATTATCATCAAATGGATATCAACCGAACAGCAACTGGCTGATATTCTAACGAAAACGTTAGGTGATAAACAAAATTCTTTCTTTGTCTCTAAATTGAGAATGTTTTTGAAATAGGGGCGAGTGTCATAGAGTGAAATAGTCATATTTCAAAAACATTCTCATGAACTTTAATATTTCANATTGTAATTTTTCTGGTATTGGTTATTTCCGAAATAAATCATCACGTTCTGGTTTCCTACATCATAATTTTTTGAATGGCAATTTGGGAACACCATTGTAATCAATATGAATCATCATCAACACCGAATCTAGATAAATTTATTTTGTTTGTTATTAATCGTGTTGATGAATCTTAATATTTCTTTATTTGTTTGAACGTATATCCATTGAAAATGTTTTTGAAATAGGGGCGAGTGTTGATAAATACTAATAGTTTAATCTATTATCTTATTTCAAAAACATTTATGAACTTTAATTCAACATTTTTATTTTCTATATAAAACACTGTATTTTTCTTATTAAATAGAACCATTAAAATTATTTCTAATAGGTTATGGGTCGCAGCGTTTCGCTGTGGATTTTTTTCTCGTGTTTGTTTTTGTGAATATTTTTTTTTGTGATTTTCTTGTTTTTTCAACGTGTTGTTTTGTTTTTTCGTTTTGTAATTTGTATTTTTTGAAAGTTTTCTTTTTGTGGTTATTTTTTTGTGTGTTGTTTTGTTTAAAACCCGTTTTTTTGGTATTCTTTGTTTGTTTTGTTTGTTAATCGTTTATTTTTGAAAAATCGCCAACATGAGTGAAAGTAATAGCAACAACATCATCCGAGTTATGAAATTAGGTGAAGCAACGTATCGACAATGGTATAATACGTTAATCGATGTGCTAGAAGCACTTGAATTGGACCAATTTATTTCGACATTCAAATATGAACGGGCAGCAACTGATCCCCCGATTAATCGTAAAGAAATTAACAAGATTGCGAAGGTACGGAACATAATTAAGCAATCGATTTCCAAGGACGACCTAGAGGGTTTAATGGATTACCGCAATCCGAAGGAAATGTTGGAAGAATTGGAACGAAAATATCGTGGTCCCGGCGCAAAATCAGCGTGGGAATTGTTGAAGGATTTAGAAACGATTAAATTTGATGGATCAATTCCAGCTTTGTTTTCCCGAATGCGACAATTGTATGCTGCGTTTGCAGATAAAGATATCAAGTTACCGTGTCACATCATCAATTCGAAGGTTCGGTCTGTTTTGCCACCTGAATATACGGATATGTGTAAAATGCTTGATATTTATAATGGTGGTCGTAAAGAATCCGATTATATGTCCGACAAACAATTTGAATCGGAATTACTAAGATTTGACCGTGAGAAAAATTTGACAAAATCGAGTATTCAATCAACATCGCTGGCAGCTACGTCGACACCTGAATCATCAAATGCAAATGCTGCAACTGCTGCTAATACTATTGCTGTTCCACCTGTTTTGACGTCACCGGTTTTGTCAGCATCGTCAAGTAATCGAATATTTTTGGGTAAATGTTATTTTTGTGGTATGCAAGGACATATTGAGCGATTTTGTCAACAAAAGAAGTATGCCGAAATGAACCGAAATAATTATCGTAATGGATACAACAACAATCGTAATGGGTACAACAATGATTGTAATCGAAGTAATGATGATCGTAATTGTAACAACTATAACCGGCAAAATAATGATTTGACAAGTTTGAGTGCAATTGTTAGTTCAAAACAGCATGGTTCGCTGATACCGCCACCTAGTTCATTGTCATTGTGTTCTGTTTCATCCGTAAAGTTTTTGGCTGACTGTGGTGCTTCTTTTCACGTGGTAAATAATCGTTCTTTTCTTACAAATATACGACGCACCAATGAATCTATTAGTACTTTGAAGGGTGAAATCCGGAATCCTGAAAAAGGTGATATGTTTTGTCAATTGTTTAATGGTCAAAGATGGATTCCAATGAAAATCAAAGACGTGTTTCTTGTTGATGATCAGCCGTTTAATTTAATTTCGATTGGAAAATTTTGTAATGTTAATGGTATCAGTGAAAGCATGGATAGGAATGGTATGGTCATTTATCATTATCGTAAGCCAATTTTGATTGGAAAATGGAGTACCGATTATGTCAACCTGATTGAATTACAAATTCGTGTTAATGTTTCTCCAATCCGTAATGTAGCAAATACCGCTGTAAAATCTTTTTGTCGCAAAAGTTTTGGTCATTCAATGTTTGAAAATCGTGATACGTATGTTCCGTTGACAAGCAAAAGTGAATTACGTTCATCTGTTGAAATTAATGAACAACCAATGTGTTCCATTCCGAAAGTCAACGAGGTTAATGAATCTAATGTATTGAATGACAGCAACAATTTTATGAATCTGGATAATTCTATTGAAGATGATACTGATGATGAAAATGATTTTCAATCACATTGTGAACTGGGTCAACCAGGTGAGTTACCGAAAAGCCAGTATCATCATGATTATGGAAGTTTTGAATCTTTGTGTCCAAGTCAAAACATTGCAAATTTGTTTGTGGCAAAATTTGAAAAGCAATCAACTAATAAGATGTCGAATAACAATTGTATTGGTGAACCTCCTGATTATGGTGATGGTAGAAACCGCAAATATGGTACAATTGGTAAATCGTTTAAATTTCGGAAATTTGGAAATTGTAATTTTTCTGGTATTGGTTATTTCCGAAATAAATCATCACGTTCTGGTTTCCTACATCATAATTTTTTGAATGGCAATTTGGGAACACCATTGTAATCAATATGAATCATCATCAACACCGAATCTAGATAAATTTATTTTGTTTGTTATTAATCGTGTTGATGAATCTTAATATTTCTTTATTTGTTTGAACGTATATCCATTGAAAATGTTTTTGAAATAGGGGCGAGTGT